GTCTTCAAATACAGTGCTAGCAAAGAAGTGGGCTGAGCTTGACGTTCTCAACGTGCTGCACCGAAAAAACTGTGCCCACCCTTTAATACCACCACACTGAAGAAAATAATATGCGAATGCAAAAAGTGCAGAAAGGCGCTGTCACGAACAGCAATTTTGTGAACATCCTGCTCGGTGCAATAATTTAGCGGAAGTCAGTACCACCTGCAAGAAATAACAACCACCTCCTGGATGAAGTCCGAAGAAGTGCTACATGTATACCAACGTGACAGTGCATATTGGGTGAAAACACGCAACCCATCACTGACGGGACTGATCCAGCCGTGCCGGCCTCTGAAATCTATCCTAGTGAGGGCAATCACCGTCCCTCTCTCCTTCTCCCCACCCATATCGTGTATGAGATGTTGATGATGATGATGACAGTTAGGATAATAATAACAAGAGCGATACTAATACAGGCGGTAATAAAGGTAGCAAACTGGAGGCCTTAAAAAAGGCCTTTTCAGCAGTGCTACATATTTTGTTAATTGCGTTTGAATGCCAAAATGTCATCCAGTCCCGTCACGTATTCCCTCGCCTTTGACAGGAAAAGACACTCAGGAAGTAGCCCGAGAGGCGGCGACCACCATACGCTTCTACGACTGTCGATGGTTCCTTCCTCAGGGACTGCTTCAGCCAAATTAATGGCGCATATGACTTCCTGCCATATGCCAGTACCAAATTACCACGGAAATGAATGAAGAAAGGACTGACGAATCAAACTTTTCGCCTACCGCACGATAGCAATACTACAGTGTCACGACACAATCCCAGCCGGTGTGTGTGGATGTACGGTGAGAGAATAGCGTTTAAACAGTAGTTAGCGATCAACAACCAGTTGCGAAGAGCGTGGTCTCTAAGATGGATGGGTAAAGGACAGACTTGAATCAGTAACATGCTCAACCAGTCTTCGCTTACTTCATGCCAAAAAAATCACTATTACAATTACTATTACCACAACTGCTACAGCAGCAACAACAACAAAAACTACCTACCATAACCACAG